GCCAACTCTTCAGACAGGGATTGGACTGGACTGTGGGACATTAAGTGATACTAGTGAAGAATGTGCCTCTTAGTCAAGTAGATACAAGAGACCAAAGGGGCAGCTTCTGTCCAGAGGTGAGATGGGAAGGCAGAGTTGGTTAGGAGCTGGTTAAACGGACATGGGGAATCACAGGTGGAAAGGAGGAGTGTGCTGTTGCAGAATGGGGTGAGCAATTAGGGTCACATAACAATCTATGTATAAAATTTTGTATGGGAGACTAACTTGAAATGTAAACTTCATTTAAACTACAATAATTAAAAAAAAAAAAAAAGAATTATCTTAGGTGAAGGGAAGGATAACATACACTACAGGGGAAGTCAGCATAACTGGACTAAGCCAAAGCTAAGAAGTTTCCTGAATACAACCAAACACTTCGAGGGACAGAGTAGCAGGGGTGTGGGGACCATGGTTTTGGGGTACATCTAGGTCAACTGGCATAACAAAGTTTATTAAGAAAATGGTCTGCATCTCACTTTGGTGAGTGGCGTCTGGGGTCTTAAAAGCTAGCAAGCAGCCATCTAAGACGCATCAATTGGTCCCAACCCATTTGCAGCAAAGGAGAATGAAAAATAGCAGACACAAGGAAAGTATTAGCCCAAGAGACAGAAAGAGCCACATAAACCAGAGACTTCATCAGCTTGAGAACCGAACTAGATGGTGCCTGGCTACCACCAATGACTACCCTGACAGGGAACACAACAGAGAGCCCCTGATGGAGCAGGAGAAAAGTAGGGTGCAGAACTCAAATTCCAGTAAAAAGGCCAGACTTTAATAGTTTGATTGAGACTGGAGGAACTCCGGAAGACATAGCCCCCAGACTCTCTGTTAGTCCCAAACTAAAACCATTCTCAAGGCCAACTCTAGACAAAGATTAGACTGAACTATGGGACATAAAATGATAGTCGTGAAGAGTGTGCTTCTTAGCTCAAGTAGATACATGAGTCTAAATGGTCAGCTCCTGTCCAGAGGCGAGATAAGAAGGCAGACAGGGTCAGGAGCTGGTTGAATGGACATGGGAAATCCGGGGTGGAAAAGAGAAGTGTGCTGTTACAGTATTCGGAGAGCAACTGGGGTCATATAACAATGTATGTAGTCCTGAATGGTAAACTTTCACCTAAAGCACAGTAAAAAAAAAAAAAAAAACCACACCTTAGAATTACACCCATCATTTCGACTGAGGGCAAACATAAGGCATGATGTCATGAAGACTAGTGTTACACAAACATTATATACTATTTTACATACAATAAAAACAGTTTATTGTGCTATTCAGATTATATACTATTCAGTCTCTTTAGAAAGATCCACCCTCCCCCCAAAAAAAAATTTCTTTTTTTTTTAGGCTTTCAATGTATGACTTTTCTTTTTTTCCCCTGACCAACTAGAACTCTTTTTTTCTTTTTTGTGGTAAAAATATATATGACAAAACATTTGCCATTTCAGCATTTTTTATGTGTACAATTCAGTGACATTAATTACATTCATCGTGTTGTACAATCATCACCACTATCCGTTTCCAAATTTTTCCAACACTCTTAACAGAAGCTCAGTAAAGAACTATTATTTCAGAGGTAAGAATTATGAAAGAAATCACTACATTTCTCCAGGTTATAGCTTTATATCTAGGATGCTCTGAGTGTAAATTTTAAGCTCAAGCCTTCTTATGCCAAAAGTATTACTATAACTAACTTCCTTTTCTGTTGTTCATGGCTCTTTTGTTTTCACTCTTCCTTAGCATCTTATTTTAAGGAACATCAATGTCCTTGGAAAGTAGGTGGACTATGATAATCAGTCAATGAGAGGCCAACTATAAATTGTACAACCTTCTACCACTGAAGATGCGTCTTTATAGAGAAAAGGTACATGACCTGGCTAGGTTCTGACAGCTTTACTATGTACTTTGGTCAAAGACTCAAAATACTAAGAACCACGTAAAATGGAAAAAGAAAAAGTTTCTTGCAGTGTTAAAAATTAGGGCACCTGAATACACACTGAGAAAAACAAACCATAATTGCATCCCTATAGTTAGAAGCAACATGTAGAATAAATCATCTAATGCTGCTAAGGTGAGATACAAAGGTCAAACTAACCTTCTCCCTCTTCATTTTCTTTCTAAATCAGAATGAACATGAATAAACAAAAAGTTTCAGTGCAGAAATTTTGCCATAAATCTGATAGACAATAATGCCTGGGCACCTTATCCTACACATTTCAAAAATTATTATATAATTTTTTTTTTTTTTACACAACTAGAACAGTATCTTTATCCAGTAATTAGGTAGACCAGTGAGAATAAAAGAAAGACAGAGGTAAAAAGTGCCTGGCCCATTGTATAAATGTTATTATACCAAAGCTTCAAGTCTTCTGTATAGTACAGGATCATCTATATTGAGATTTAAGACACAAATTTAGGAAGTTTTTAAAAAGACTTAAATATCTTTTTATAACCTCACTAAAATACGATATTTCATCCAAATCAATGAACGTAATTTTTAGTGATGCTAGATAATTTTATACCTGCTCACTATTAAGGACATGCGATGCTAAATAATGAATGACAAATAAATATCCCACTTATCTCCCCTGAACACGTTTTACTTCTGTACTTTACTAGTAAGCTAAGGGGGAAAAAATAAGCCACTGAACCACAGAGATCAAATCATTCTGTATGTTTTGTGTGATGTTTTCCATATACTATCAGCGATTAACATTGTCATCGGTTTTAATATCAGTCGAATATCTGTTCAGTGATATATTACTCACTCATCCAAACATGGTTTGTTGTATATAATTTTAACCATCATGGATACTTTTTTTCTCCCTGAAAGTGACATTTCACTTCATGTACTTATATTTTAGTACAAAAGACCCAATTCTGCCTGCCAAAGAGGCTTATGATTTACTCATTATAGACACAACACAAAAGGAGAAAGAAACTTCACATTTGGTGTTGATCCTCACATTTCCAGAATGCTAGATACAGCATTATGTAATATCTGCTATGATAAGGCTTTATACTCATCAGCAATTTTCTGAAGTATTCAGGGAACAAAACGTCTTACCGTACCTAAGAAGATGAGCTATGGCACCACAGCCTTGAGTATCACCCTGCTGCCATCTTTACCTGGGTATTTTCAACCTCCAAAGAATCTTAGCTACAACCTCATTAGCAAATGTTTCCAGCAAAGTGCTCTATCAAAGTTTTTTATTTATTTATTTTTCCTATAGAGGAAAATTAGGCAAGGAAGATGAGAGAGTAGAAAAGATAATTTACCTGCATCAATTTTCTGGAGAGCTCATTAGTGAGGAACTCTTCTTCCTTCTCATAATTTACTGCAAGGGTTTCTTTCTCCTTCTGCAAAGCCTGGATTTTCTTGAACAAAGTGTTACTGATGAATTCTTCTTCTTGCTCGGCCCTGGCTTGCTGTTTAAAAAAAATGAAAAGGGAACAAAACAAAACAAAAACACATGTTAAGGAAACAGGAAATTTGCTAATTGAAATACAGTTCTTTAGTTCCAAAGAGGGTACCCATTTTAATTAGCGCTCTATTTTTAACTATGAACCGACACATCCCAAGAAACACAAACCAGAGGAACTCAGCAGCAACCATAAAAGCGAATGTTACTACGACCCCAAAGGACCTCCCTGTGCTACACACTATCCTTTTCTTAAACGGATGTTGTTGCCTGCTGCCATCAAGTTGGCCCCCAACTCAGGGCAACCCCAAGCACAGCAGAAGAAACGCTGCCCGGTCCGATGCCATTCTCATGATCAGTTGCAGATCATCAGACCATTGTGCTCCACAGGGTTTTCACTGGCTGGTTTTCAGAAGTAGATTACCAGGCCCTTCTTCCTAGTCCTTCTTAGTCTGGAAGCTCCGCTAAAACCTGTTCAGCATCATAGCAACAGACAACCCTTCACTGACAGACAGGTGGTAGCAGTGCATGGGGTGCACTGTCTGAAAACTGAACCCAGATCTACTGTGTGGAATTCTACCACTGAGCCACCAATGCCTCATTCTTAAAGTGATGAGTCAAAGAAATTAGCAAAGATCATTTTGTAGTTTTTAAGCAGCAATCCCAAGTCAATCACCAGAATACAGGTCTAATTCTGTGGTATGTGCATCGATTGGTAACAACCCTCTGCACGACATTACATCTCAAAGGTTTATAACTAAAATATTTAGGCAACCGGGGCAGAGAAGTTCAATTTACTTGAAAGTAAAATCACGTTACCTATTTAGGATGTTACTGAAATGGTTTGGATATGCAATTAGAAAAGGCATACAGATACACATGGACACACTTATGTATTCATTGACTAGAGAATAGAATGAAATATACCAAACGGCTAAAAAGTAGTCATTGCAAGACAGTGGGAATCTAGGGGGTGAAGGGTAAGGATGAATGGGAGGAGTTTTATCTTTTACTTTATTTTCCCTGCTGGTAATTTTTTGGGGAGAAGGGCCAAGACAGGCATTACTGAATTTTAAAAATATAGGAGAAAAGCAGGTCTGTCATAATTCAACAGAGATGAAAATATTCTTCTGCAGATGCCCCCCTTAAATGTTTTAACATAATAAACAGAAAAAAATCTAACAATCCTTGAAGGAAATTCATCTTTCCAGAAAGAGCTTACTTGTCTCAAATAGGCTCAACGCTATTCAAAGCACTTTTTAAATTGCAACATTTTGATGCATTCATCCCAAACAAAACATTCCCATTTTATCTGCCAAGTGACAGAGAGTTACATGAATCCCAAGCCTCCAAGCACCTGTCATTTATAAAAAATACAAGAGGGTCAGAAGGGCAGGACAGAAAAGGGTACCAGCATTAAACAATCACCACCTTTTACTGTAAAAAGGTCTGACAACTACTCTCTGCTCTGGTGGTTCAGAGTTCTGTACATATTCACCAGTCCCTCCAACACCCATACCCTAATATCCATGGTTTCTGTGGATTCTACAATCCCTGCTCTCAATTACAGTGGCCTTACAGGAAGTACACCAATCCCTGGAAGTGCTTGCCAACCAATTCTACAAAAGGGGACCACACATACAGCTTACACTGAGAAACAGTACTACGTGAAAGGTGGTAGCTTTGGGAGAAGAAGGCCTAGCACTCAAGTTCTTTTAAGACACCAGGCTGGGATAGGCCAAGAGGGCTGAGCAACAAACAACACATCACCCAGCTAATTAATTTTTATTTCCAGCCAAGGACATCAAGTGAGCAGTCTCTATCCCCTGTGGTTCCCTTACACACTTCACATTTCATTAGCACTTCTCAATGCCTTACTGTTTCCACCAAGGTCAAGGGAAACTGCTGTAGATTGGTACTTTCCCTCCCCTTTAAATTAATCTTGACACATCTTCAAAGCACGCAAACCTTAAGATCTCCAGATTTCTCATACTAGTGCAATGGGCAGGAATCCAAGGCATTTATTTAGGACGTATCTGACACATATATCCAAGCCTACAATCTGTTCAAGCTACCTGTTTTTCTGGTTTTGACTGACAAAGTCCTATAGGATTTGAATGCTGATTATTCTAAAAGTTACAGAAAAGAAAGGTCGAGAGGAACTGTACTGCTTTTGCTGGTGATTCTGGATTTAGAATTCAAAAGGGTGTTTGCCCATGAATGCAGGCAATCAGACTCAACTTTTTACACACATGCACATTTAATGTTTCAGGCGATTGGTAAATTTAAGCATAAACAGTAAAAAGGAACCAGACAGAGGCTCAGACTACTACCTTCCCTTCACCTTGTACACAGGGAACTAAAGATAAAAATTGAAAATAAGAGGCTGGACCTTAAGAGTTACCCAGCCATCCCCAATACCCTCATCTAACCATTAAGTTACACAGACAACAGATTTCAGTGTGATATAAAAAAGAACTCTGAGATAGGAAGCAGATTAGTGGTTGTCTAAGGCTGGGGTGGATGGAGGGTTGGGGGTGACTGCTAATAGGTATGGGGTTTCCTTCTGGGGTGTTAAAATGTTCTGGAATTCAAACAACCTTGTGAATATACTAAAAACATACATTAAAAGGGTGAATTTTATAGTATGGGAATTATAGCTCAATGAAAAAAAACTGAAAATTTGCAGGGTCTATAGTTTAAAGGAAGAAATCCTGGAAACACAGCGGTAAAGCAGTCAGTTGTTAATCAAAAGGTAGGCAGTTCAACCCACCAGCTGCTCCGCAGGAGAAAGATGTGGCAGTCTGCTTCCCTAAAGATTACAGCCTTGGAAACCCTATGAGGGGCAGTTCCACCCTGTCCTACAGGGTCGCTATGAGTCAGAATCAACTCCACAGCAATGGGTTTGGTTGGTTACAAGTAATTCAAAGGAGGAGTCCCTGGGTGGCACAAATGGTTAAACACTCGACTGCTAACCGAAAGGTTGCACCCAAAGGCTCCTCAGAAGAAAAGCCTGGCAATCTACTTCCTAAAGGCCACAGCCTTAAAAATCCTATGGGGTGCAGTTCTACTCTGTACACATGGGGTCACCGTGAGTCAGAATCGACTCAATGGCAAGTGGTTTTTTGGGGGGGGGGGGTTCTGAGAGCATCTTTTTTTTCTTCCCAGGGAATGCAGCAAAAAGAGGGAAAAAAAGTGCTTCCCACAGTAAGTGACCCATCACCAGCTGTGGGCCACTGAGGCTTTGGCAAACAGTATTATTCATCACTGTAGAACAGCCACTTGTTTCTTGGCAAAGCCTATTAAATAGAAAGTGCCACTTTCAGGATCCCTAAATGAACACCAGGAACTGTTACAATCCCGTTAAAGCCTATCTAATGTGGCCAAACACAATACAGATCTTACCAGAGGGCTCCTTTAGCTAAGTCTTTTCCACCTCTCGGTTCTAACCAGGCGGCTGTTATTCTGCCTCCCACAGAAACTGAAAGCACTGAAAGCACAGAGAAAACCATCTGGCAAAATAAGATTCCTAGTCCCCAACACAGAAAAGCCAGCTCACCCTTTTTCCTATTGCTCACAGATCATGTTAAGTGAATAAACACAGAAATGAAGACAAAAGACAAGACGCTGTATCCAATATAGCCTCAGAGAAAATTTAAAAAAAAAAAAATTTATTTAAAAAAGGATCAGATACAGCATACTGGCAACACGCATAAAATCTTGATAATCAGAGAATGAGCCATGCATCAGAGAAAAGGATTAAGCATTCTTTTTGGATTATACTCCCTGCCGCCTTTTCCCCATGTTACATGCACTATCTGGATCTTAGTCTTAGTCCTGGTTTTCTATGTGAGCCGCAAAATAAATTACCTTCCCATTTTATTCCCCCCAAAGAAGCCAGGAGCCAGGTACACAAAGCCAGGTAGGAAAGAAGCAAGTCCCAGGCACCTTTTGCTAGCCACCATGAGTCGGACAGACTGGGAGCAGACGCTGGGTGGGCAGAAAGGAGATAAACAGGCTGCCTTATGAAACTGCATCATCAGGTTCAATCAAGATAGCTTCCTTTTTATCTGAAGTGCCTAAAAATCACAGAATACCTAAACACATCCAAATTCAAAAATAAAGTTGCTTTTCAAAAGCTAAACAAATGAATCAAGATTCACTGTAATTCTGAAAACTGTCATCAACAAAGAAAATGTAAAAAAAAAAAAAAAATAGGAACTCTTTGAAGGAAGAAACCTTTTATTAGTGTTGTACATATGTCTGTAGAATTGAAGCCTGGGGAAATCAAAGAATCCGTCATTATATTTTCATGATCAATATGGTTCTAGTTGCTATGCTTAGAAAGAGAGTGAATTTGATATAATCTTAATATTTGTTATTTAACACACTGCCCTTCACCCAGCAGTACTCACTCAATACCTGTTAATATGAAGACTAAAGTATAAAGCATCTCTCCATCATTCTTTCCCCATCTCACCGAAGAATCAACACAAAAAAAGTGAAATGAAAAAAAAGGAAGGAGAAGGCGGGGGGGCGGGGGGGAGTGACAGGAGAAACTTGCCAGGTCCTCTGGGAAAAATAAACACCAAAAAAAATTCTTAGAAAAGTTATCTCCTCCTGAGTCATCCCATACTGAAGTGATCATACCATAAATGAATGCAATTTTTGGTGGTTAAGGAAAATACAGTTTGTTCTGACCCACTGTTATCATGACCTGGGAACAAATTTGACAGGAGATTTCAGTGTGATTGTTTAGTGGTTCTACTATCATTGGCATTTTGGAGATCAAGGGTCAGCAAAGAAAGAAAAATTCAAAAACCCTGAACAACAGCAGCGATCGGCTGCTGATGAGAAAATCCAAGTGCCAAAAACAAAATCCTGTGGGATGACTCAACTCATGATATGTCAAGCCCAAGAAAAAAGACAGTTTTCCCAGCAAGAAATTACACACAAATATCTACTTGATAGCAGCCATACGTAAAAGATCTCATCAGGATACAGTCC